CTTTCTTTCTTTCTTTCTTTCTTTCTTTCTTTCTTTTTCTTTCTTTCTTTCTTTTTTTTTTTCTATCCCCCTTCCCCCCCCCCTCTCTCTTTCTCTCTCTCTCTCTATTCTTTCTCCTTCTCATTCTCTATCCCCCTTCTTTGAGTTTCTATGGGAAGTGGGGGGTTGTGTGCTCTCTCTCTCTCCTCCCCCCCCCCCCCCTTCTCTATCAACTCTGTCTCTTTCTCCTTCTCTTTCTCTACCCCCCCCCCCCCCCCCATCTCCTTCTCATTCTCTTTCCCTTCTCCCCCCCCTCTCTCTCTCTCCTTCTCATTCTCTACCCCTCCCCCATCTCCTTTTCATCTTCTATCCCTTCTCTCTCCTTCTCATTCTCTATTCTCTCTCTCACTCCTCTCTCCCTATTCTCATTCTTTACCCTCCTTCTCTATTTCTCTTCCTCTCATTTTCTATCCACTCTCGCTCTCTCTCTTTCTCATTATCTATCCCTTTTCTCCCCCTCTCCTTCTATCTCTCTCATTCTCTTTCCTCTTCTTATTCCATATTCACTCTCTCATCCTCTCTCTCTCTCATTCCCTCTCCCCCCCTTCTCTCTTTCTCCTTTCTCTCTCTCCTTCTCACTCCCCCCCGCTCTCCCCCTCTCTTCTGTCTCCTTCTCTATCCCCCTTCTCTCTCTCTCTCTCCTTCTCTCTCTCTCCTCACCCCCCTCTCTCTCCTTCTCACCTTCTCATCCTCTCTCTCTCTCCCCCTCTCTCTTCTCTCTCCTTCTCTATCCCCCCTCTCTCTCTCCCTCTCCCTCTCTCTTCTCTCTCCCCCTCTCATTCTCTCCCCCCTTCTCTCTCTCTTGCTCTCTCTTCTTTCTCCTTCTCATTCTCTGTCCCCCTTCTTTGAGTTTCTATGGGAAGTGGGGGGTTGCTCTAGAGCAGCTTTGGGGGAGGGGGGGTTAAAGGGGTAATGTAAAGTAGGCACTGAAAATATAACCAAATTCCAGATTAATTCGTTATCTGAATCCAAATTATTGAACAATTTCAAAACTGTATTTTATTTCCCCATAAGGCACAAAAAGGGTGCAGTAAATACTTCTTTATGGCAACTCAACCATGCAGCTCATTTTTGTTCATGTATTTTCGTATTGTGCTACTTAAAACAACCACACCATCTTTTTCCAGAGCAGCCTGTGTTTCTCTTGATGTTACCTGTGGGATTTTCTTTGTATCCCAAACAATTCTTCTGGCAGTTGTGGCTGCAATCTTTCTTGGTCTACCTGACCTTGGCTTGGTATCAAGAGATCCCCAGATTTTCCACTTAGTGATTGAACAGTGCTGAGAAACCCATATTCAAGGCTTTAGATATAACTTTTAATCCTTTTCCATCTTTATAAAGTTCCATTACCTGGTTACACTGGTCTTTTGACAGTTCTTTTCTGCTCCCTATGGCTCAGTATCTAGCCTGCTCAGTGCATCCTTGTGAGAACTAACAAACTCATTGACTATTTGTACACAGAACTGATTGTAATATAAAAAGCCACAGATGTGGGAAATTAACCTTTAATTGCAATTGTAACCTGTGTGTGTCACCTTGTGTGTCTGTACCAAGGCCGAACATTCCAGGGGAGGGAAACTTTTTCATCAGGGTCATTTGGGTGATTTCTGTTATCATTAGGATTTAAAAAGGAGCCAAACAACTATGTGATAATAAATGGCTTCATATGATCATCATTTTTCAATAAAAGAGCTTTTTTTGGCATGATCAGTCATATTTTCAATATCAATGCCAAACTTTCACAATTTTTGCCGGGGTATTCAAACTTTTGAGCACCACTGTATATCACAATACAGCCCCTCACAATGCCTTCATCTGCATTTTCTGTCCAAAAGGACAGAGCCATATTTGTTCAGTCATCTTTCAGGGTCACCATCTACATGGTCATGCAAAATCTTGTTATCATTAGGATTTAACAAGGAGACAAACAACGATGTGATAATAAATGGCTTCATGTGATCATCATCCTTCAATAAAAGACAGTTGTTTTGGCATTAAAATTGCTGATATCCATGCCATTGTGCCAGAAATGTCATGGGCCTGAACAAGTCTATGCTGTGATATACCGATAATGCAGCTAATGGCGTTGAGATCAAAAAAAAGTGCCAAATTAGCAGTGGAAAAAATCTGCTCTGAACATGACTGATTTGTGAGTACCTGTACCCAGGGGCAGACTGACAACTCATTGGGTCCCCGGGCAATAGGGGATCATGGGGCCCCTGTGTCCTTGCCCAAACTCAAAAAAGCCTATGAAAAAGGTACCAGGGGCATCTCATGGGGCCCCCTACTGACCCCAGGCCCTCGGGCAGTGCCCAAATTTCCAAATGGTCAATCCGCCCCTGCCTGTGGCACAAGCAATGCTATTTCATAAATATTGGTCTCTCTGCACTCCATAAAGGAAATCATAACCAGAGAACAAAGCATTTCATGCCCATACCTGGTAGGTTCAGGTAAGTGGAACATCCTCTATGACTTCCTCAAGGTAGTGCTAAAAGCCAAGATCAAGTACTATGACATGGGGGGGGATGGGACTTTGCTTAGTTCTAGCCAAGTTTGGGTTCTCCCAGAAAGGCATAACGTGTGCCAGATCCTGGTGGCAGAGAAGTAGAATGGGTGGCAGGCTTAGCAGTTTTTTTTTTTTTTATATACAGGGTCAGTTTAGGGTACCGTTATTGATGGTACGTTGGTTGCCCAGTATATTGGATTGAACAGTCCTCTGTGGTCTTTCCAACACCTCCTGCTCTCTAGCTCCCTCGTTACCAATTCCCATGCTTATCTCCAGGATTCTCCAGAGCCTCTTCCATCCTCTGGAGCTTTCTTTTCAAGCCTGTCTGGCTATCTCGAACTCTGTCCAGCTTCAGACAATACTCAATTCTTTAGGGAAGCCTAACCAACCTCCACCCAATGACTGGATTCTACTTTCTCTATCAACCAGGGGCGGACTGACAACTCATGGGGCCCTCGGGCAATAGGGGATCATGGTGCCCCTGTGTCCCTGCCCAAACTCAAAAAAGCCTATGAAAAAGGTACCAGGGGTATCTCATGGGGCCCTCTACTGACCCCAGGTCCTTGGGCAGTGCCCGAGTTTCCAAATGGTCAGTCCGCCCCTGCTATCAACTCAACCCCCCCCCCCCCCCCACAGATATCTGTTGTTCCCCCCTTTAGATTGTAAGTTCTCATGAGCAGGGCCCTCTGAACCCTCCTGTATTCCATTATCTACTGTCTAATGGCTGGCATTATTCTGAGGGAACAGCAAGAAAAAGATGTATCTGAACATTTTATAGCCTTGTGACAGTAACTCTAATAATCATAATAAAGCCTTCTGATCGGAATGACTGTGGCCACGGAGGCATAAAATCACACCAGTCCTTGAGGGGATAAATAACAAAAAGTGATTCTCTGTAATATATTGTACATTATAAAATCCAGCAGGCGCACAGTTTGTGTGTGAAAGGTCTGCACGGTTACTTAGAGACTCAGAGAAGAACGGACCTGGTCTTTGAATACACCGATAGCTGCTATGTAGCAGGATCCAAGTGTTATATCTTCATTAGGCTTAGTCCGGTTGGTGATCTGTAGGCCACAGGTGGGGGGGAAGTGGCAGAATCACCTTTAATCCATATTGACCACTTCCCGTCTGGCCCATGTATATAAACGGCCGGACGGGAGCAGTGTAGGGGCAGGTGGCCATTTATAAATGTCCCTACCACCCCCTGCTTGTGTGAGCTCCCTGGGAGCGCGCAGCACCCGCAATCGGGTGCCCGTTGTTTCCTCCGGACACAGTGGAACACCGATCGTTGTGCAGTACCTCTGTGTGAGGTCCCGATCATGTGATCACTGATTGGCCAATCAGTGATCACATGCAGAGTAGTAAGCAAGATGTCACTTCTGACATCATTGCTTACTATGTGTGAAATCTGTGAATGATCACAGAGATCACATGGTACAGGGCTATTCACAACAGCCTTGTATCATGTGACAAGCTGTGACCAATCACAGCTCACACAGTATTTCTAAATGGCTGCAAGAATGCAGCCAGAGAGGAGAAATGATTGCTTTAACAGCCTTTAACGTGAACGTGAGGAGTGAAGATGGCAGATTTTTCACCGATGTTGCTAATGTAGTGTTCTATCTCGATCCTGTTGCAGAAGGATTGTGGGAGGGGCCCTTGGCCAGCATGGCTGTTGCTGTTGGTGAATTAGGGTCCTGCCTAAGTGCTGAGCGAATCATTTTCTGTATATTCCCTTACTGGAGGAGCTATTAGTAATTTGGAACCACTGATCGCTGATAGGATCGGAGTCAGACTGACCATTTGGAAACTCGGGCACTGCCCGAGGGCCCGGGGTCAGTAGGGGGCCCATGAGATGCCCCTGGTACCTTTTTCATAGGCTTTTTTGAGTTTGGGCAAGGACACAGGGGCCCCATGATCCTCTATTGCCCGGGGGCCCCATGAGTTGTCAGTCCGCCCCTGATCGGAGTTGCCTATCTATAGCATTTCCAGGACAATCCCTTCCAATGGATACATTACTGGTATATCTGATTTAGAATGAATGAATATGGGACATGGATGGATGGGGGAGTTTGCTTTGAATATTAAAAATGAATTAAATAGTGTTTTCAGTTTGCAGTGCTCAGATACAGGTGAGTTCCACTTTAAATATACCATTGAAAACTACCGTATTTTTCGCTCCATAAGACGCACTTTTTTCCCCCCAAAAAAGGGGGGGAAATGTCAGTGCGTCTTATGGAGCGAATATAAAGCGGCCGGTCCGGTATTTCTGCCGCCACCATGTCAGAATATCGGGCCGGCCGCTCAGCTGTTCTCTCCTGCAGGGCCTTACCTGTTCCTCGCTCCAGCGCTGTACAGTCTTCCCGCGCTGGCTTCTGTGACAGCCGGGTGCCCACTGCGCATGCGCTTCGCTTTGTGAATGGTCCGGTGTCTTCTGGGACACATGACAGCTCCCAGAAGGCGCCGGGCCATTCACAAAGTGCAGAGCTTCTCGCACATGCGCAGTGGGTACCCGGCTGTCACAGAAGCCGGCGCGGGAAAGAAGAGAGAAGGACAACTCCGCGGAAGTGGGAGCGGGGACCTGTCAAATTCAGGTACCCGCTCCCCCTCCCTCCCCAAAGGTCAGCAGTCTCTGGTAATCTCCTGTATCTCCTGTACTGTACTATGTCCGCAGTCTCTGGTCATCTCCTGTACTGTGTCTGCAGTCTCTGGTCATCTCCTGTACTGTGTCTGCAGTCTCTGGTCATCTCCTGTACTATGTCTGCGGTCTCTGGTCATCTCCTGTACTGTGTCCGCAGTCTCTGGTCATCTCCTGTACTGTGTCCGCAGTCTCTGGTCATCTCCTGTACTGTGTCCGCAGTCTCTGGTCATTTCCTGTACTGTGTCTGCAGTCTCTGGTCATCTCCTGTAGTGTGTCCGCAGTCTCTGGTCATCTCCTGTACTGTGTCCGCAGTCTCTGGTCATCTCCTGTACTATGTCCGCAGTCTCTGGTCATCTCCTGTACTATGTCCGCAGTCTCTGGTCATCTCCTGTACTATGTCCGCAGTCTCTGGTCATCTCCTGTACTGTGCCCGCAGTCTCTGGTCATCTCCTGTACTGTGCCCGCAGTCTCTGGTCATCTCCTGTACTACTTCCGCAGTCTCTGATCATCTCCTGTACTGTTTCTGCAGTCTCTGGTCATCTCCTGTACTATGTCCGCAGTCTCTGGTCATCTCCTGTACTATGTCCGCAGTCTCTGGTCATCTCCTGTACTACGTCCGCAGTCTCTGGTCATCTCCTGTACTGTGTCCGCAGTCTCTGGTCATCTCCTGTACTGTGTCCGCAGTCTCTGGTCATCTCCTGTAGTATGTCCGCAGTCTCTGGTCATCTCCTGTACTATGTCCGCAGTCTCTGGTCATCTCCTGTACTATGTCCGCAGTCTCTGGTCATCTCCTGTACTATGTCCGCAGTCTCTGGTCATCTCCTGTACTGTGTCCGCAGTCCATTGGTTCAGAATTTTTTTTTTTTTGTGTTTTTCGCCTCTAAAACCTAGGTGCGTCATATGGTCAGGTGCGTCTTATGGAGCGAAAAATACGGTATTAGTTATGTCTGTTTAACAAGTGCAAAAAAAATGCCACGTGATCTTACCAGAAACCCAGGGAACGAAGGACTTCCTGCTGTGCTCTCTGCCTGTGCTGCCCACTTCTGTAGTCCTGTCCTTGGGTGACAACGCTTCATACATACAGTGTGTTGAGCGAGCGTTGCCACCCTAGTAAAGGTAGTAAAGGAAGAATATTACAGGCAAGGTCACCAGGTGAAATTAAAGAGACAAAAAAAGAAAAATCCACCTCATCTATGGACTGCTGTGCTACATTATAATACACTTGTGTTCATGGGTTTAGATGGAATTTAAGGATGCCTTCCCCATTGATGCTAAAATATCAAAACTTTCAAAAAAACTTCAGCGAGTCGAAAACTTTCCATTTTGCTCATCCTTATTCTAGAATTCAAAGTTCACTCAAAGTCAGCCAGATAATTAGCATTTTCAGAATTGGCAGGTCCTGCACTCTCTTCGGCGCAGGGTTACTTTAATCTAGTTGGATGACATATCTCTCCTTGTGTTGATGGATAATACGATTGTTATCCTCAGGTATTGTTTCACTAATGACGGCTCCCCAAATAATTTCTTTTGAAGTGCAGAGGGAAACTGGTGCTCTGTAACGCAAGCCTTTGAAGCGTTGAGGGCAGCGTAAACCGCTAATGGCGATTGTCTGTTGCTGCCATAACACCCAGGTGTCCCGCTATTTTATGGCTCTTTGAGTTTGCAAATAGCCCCGGTAATTGTAATAATCTACAGCAGTCATTAGGAACTGGAATAACCTTTTGTGTATGGTTCTGAGTGTTTATAATTTGTAGGCTTTACAGATGCCTGATGGCCGCTGAGCCTGGTTAGGGGAGATTTGATTGGATAGGATTCATTTTCTTGGTCTTTTGCCATTGGTCGTCCCCCATGACAGATGAACATGGGTTTTACTCCTTCGCCAATTTCCATGGGCCCAAGAATGCATTTTGGTTATTCAACAACCCCTAATACTAATTATAGGTACTGTGCCCACTGGCGATGCTCTCTCTGGATCGCTCTTCACATTCAGCATTTGAGAGGCGGTGAGTAGGGCATTGTATTGCCTCCTCAAATCCTGCTTTAACCCCTTGATTGCCACTGTACCACATTGCAGACAGGTGCGGGGTGCTTGCAGAGCAAAGGGTCTCGTTCGGCAGGAGCTATACCCACCAAAAGCAACAGAGGAATAATTCCTGCCACATGTACATCTTCAACAGCTGCTTCTTCAGTGGTAGCGGTTGAGGGGTAGTAATAGAGCAGCTCAGTTATGGTGTTTTACCACCTCCAGCCTCATGTGTGTACAGGTCCTTAATGTTTTACCAGGTATATGCCAAACCAGCATCCATGTATATTCATATTCTCTTAAAACCGAACTCTAGGCAGAAATAAAAGACTGTCACCCTTATTGAGATATCATTAAGTGTATTTTTCACAATCAAGCAGTGAAAGTACCTGAATATGACCTGGTTTAAGTCCCTATACAGCAAGGATGGAGTGTGAGAGGAAGAAGCAGCACAAGAGCCAATCGGTTCACGTGCTGACAAGAAGCATGTTGATAGGAATAGAGTGCAGAGCGACATAGAGATTTTTTTGTTGCAGTACTCATAGAATCCCTGCGCGTTCTTCCAGGTTTCCAAGGACTTCCAGTACTCACAAAATCCCTGCTAGGTTTCAAGGATTTCCAGGATTCTCAAGACCTCCAGTACCCACAGGATCCTTGCTGGGTCTTCCAGGATTCGTAGAAACTCCAGTACTCAAAGGATCCCTGTTGGGTCTTTAAGGATTTCCAGGATTCCTAGAAGCTCCAGTACTCACGAGATCCCTGCTGGGTCTTCCAGGATTTCCAGGATTCCTAGGACCTCCAGTACTCATAGGATCCTTGCTGGGTCTTCCAGGATTCGTAGGAACTCCAGTACTCAAAGGATCCCTGTTGGGTCTTTAAGGATTTCCAGGATTCCTAGAAGCTCCAGTACTCATGAGATCCCTGCTGGGTCTTCCAGGATTTCCAGGATTCCTAGGACCTCCAGTACTCACAGGATCCTTGCTGGGTCTCCAGGATTCGTAGGAACTCCAGTACTCAAAGGATCCCTGTTGGGTCTTTAAGAATTTCCAGGATTCCTAGAAGCTCCAGTACTCATGAGATCCCTGCTGGGTCTTCCAGGATTTCCAGGATTCCTAGGACCTCCAGTACTCACAGGATCCTTGCTGGGTCTTCCAGGATTCATAGGAACTCCAGTACTCACAGGATCCCTGTTGGGTCTTCTAGGATTCCAAGCACATTCAGTACTCACAGAATCCCTCTTGGATCTTCTAAGATTTCTAGGACCTCTAGTACTTGCAGAATTCCAGGATTCCTAAGCCTGACCGTACTCGCAGAATCTCTGCTTGGATTTCTAATATTTCTAGGACCTTTGCAGGATCCCTAGAACCTCCAGTACTCAAAGGATCAATGTTGGGTCTTCCGGGATTTCTAGGACCTTCAGTACTCACAGAATCCCTGCCAAGTCATCCAGGATTCTTAAGCCATCCAGTACTCATAGGATCCCTGATGAGTCTTCTAGGATTCCTAGGACATTTATTATGCACAGAATTCCTGCCAGGTCTTCCAGAATTTCCAGGATTCCTAGGATCTCCAGCACCTCCATGACTCCTAGAGTTCTCTGAGACGTTGCTAGATGTGACCCCCCAAGCAGGGAGGGTATTTAGGTTTCCATGGGCTGGTGTTCTGTTTTATCTCCAGAGCTAAATCAATATAATACGTGTCTGTTAGTTGCCTGCCTGTTGCTTATCCGGGCTGAACTGACTACTCTTTCACCTGCCACCTGCCTTGACTCTTGCCTGTCTTGACCACTCTCTTCCCCTGGGTGCATGAAGTTGGTAACCTGGCTTATGGGCCTCGGGTGTTTGGCAGAAAACCTGTAGACAAGGCAACAAACCAATGGAGACAGAAATGCCTCTCATAAGTGTGTAAACATGATTCCCCAAATGGCCCAATGGGTGACTTGAGCTTGAAACCATACAGCATAGTAAACTGGAAAGATGGTTATCAGGGTCTTGGACCCACTATCACTGAAGAATTTAAGTGTATGCCTTGGTTCAGGAACTGGCTTAAAAAGCCCCAGCAAAGGAGCACTACAAGCTGGCCTCCCTATGACCTGCATTTTACCTCCTAAGCTGCTTCAAGCTGCTTTTGCATTCCTATTGAGTTGTATGTGGAGACAATCAGCTGTGAATAAACAAAAGCCCATGTATGTGTAAATTTAGGCTGTGCCTGTTTGCACTACAATGGGAGGAGAAGATGTTATAGGGGGTGTCACTATCAAAATTCTCATAGCTGATTCCCAAGCCTGTGGTTGACTAATCAGCATCTGGTCACATCTAGTCCCACACACTGCTTTCTAGACTGACAGTACTGCCTCTGTTTACTGAACCCCTCCGACTGTGAGCTGCAGTGTCTGAGAGTGGGAGCGTGTGAAACACAAATGAAGGGGGATTTCATTCAGTCAGGGGAGGTATAGGAAGTGTTCTGCTAAGTGTCTTATCCATCTGTTTAAAAACATAACATGTTGACCGCTGGAGACAATTTGCACCTGATGGACTCTTCACCATGAATGACATTTCTGCAGCTGGCAGCCCAATGTAAACTAAAGGGAGGGCGATGTCATTGACCAAATATAGCCACTGACATATTTAATCAACAACTTCACCCAGGATCCCTTGCCCCTTTGTTCACATTCAGCAATGGGGCTAAATAATCCCATTCGTAATGAGAAGTTCATGGGGTGAAGATCATCTCCTGTCAATGTTTTTGGTGGGTCGGTGGAGGTCATTCATTAAGCTGTGATTAAGAGTAGATTTACACTGAGGGATTGTTTTGGGGGTTTTTTGTTTGTTTTTTTAATGAAGAACTTTGTCAAACCTGTGGTGTGTTATCACCACATCTATAACCAGAGGTGCTATGAACCCGTTACTCATTCACATTAGAGGGGAATATATGAGGGGGCAACCTCATTTTAAATGAGCCCTCCTCCAAAGACCCCCTACACTCACCAGTCCAGAGATGTGGGGAAGAGAGGCTCTTGTCCTCATTATTATGGGGACGAGGTGGTTTGCCAAGGGCATTAACCCTGGCAAGGTACTCTCTCCATGCTGAGGACATATCATCTGGTATGGTTAAGGAAGGAGGAGGGTGCACGCTCACTGCCTCCCTTTTTTGACCAGCCAAGCTTCATACTTGGTCCAGTATGGATTTTTGTTTTTTTTATCTTGGTTGGTCAAACTTAGCTATTAGTTCACCCAGTCCACAAATCACAAACATATCCAATGCAAACCCTGCATGGCCACAAACAAGAAGCTCATCCCTAATGGAGAAATGTCCATCTATGGCCACCCTATGGCTTTACATTGCTAAATGACTAACAGCCATGTCTACATGGTATTATCCTCCAACTACTGACACAAGCTTGCAACTTGTTTTTAGCATTCACTAATAAATTATGCTTTAAAAAAAACATCCATCTAACCTCAACCTCAGTTGTCAATAGTTGACCTGACCTACTCCATCACACTGTACAAAAGTCCAGCGAGGCCCTTCTCCCCGACTGCCGCAGCCAGTGCATTCTGGAAGCTGCTTCCCAGATCCAAAGGTGATTATTTTTGCGTCTAATGGAGCCATTACAACAACGACCTTGTCCGTTTCACCTTTATCAGCATCAACAAGCGAATCTAATCTTCTTCATTTCTCAATAATGAATGATGCAATCGGGAAATACATATTGAGTCATTGATCTGAAGCCTATTAGCCCAGAATTATCATTTTTATAGAACGCCGGTAGAAGGGACGGCTCAGGTCACAGATAGTGCACGTTATGTCGGTGCAGCACCCCAGGCGGCCTCAGAAAGTTCTAGGGAT